TTGGTCGACCATACAAATTATCTTTGTACTTTGTGTCGAACTCAATTACATCACCGAAGCATATGTAATCTGATCTCAATGTAGAATCCGACCAAATAAGATTATGCAACGCCCCTGATTCGTCTACTGGGTATGTCACAAAAAACCTGGGATCATCATGTTTCTTATAATCAAAGTAAGCAATAAGCGCATTCACATCCCCATCGACGATTTCCTTTGATTTGCCTCTTTGAAGTGCATTGTAGAGGTCTTTATGTGTAAATCCAACATATGATAGCCCCCTGCCTGCTGCGTTAAATAGTTCATTACTTGTGACGTGCCAACACCGACCTCTTTCAATGTTGTTGCCTCATCAATATCAGCCTTACTTACAGCTCTATTAGAACGCATAAATGGTGTCATAACAGGTGTGCACAATGCATGATTATGTTTCTGATAAGACTTACTTATAACCCACTGATCGTTTGTATTTGTTGTTGTAACTACGATTCTAGCCTTGCATCCTGTTCTTGTGATTGGCGTATGAGCACGTTGACGATCAACGGTATTGACTTTTGATACTCGAAACCCTTTTTTGGAACAACAAAATTCTTGTGTCTTCACATTCCCTTTCATGTCAAACCGTGTTGTTCCCCGACGTGCGCTAAACCCATGTTCCCGTACGAATTCCTTGTAAAAGTACCAAGCTTGATCACGTGAAGAGAAGAGCTTACCAACCAATATGTCAGATTCATCAACATTATGTACTTTATTGTATTTCTCGGTTGGCTTAACATTGTCTGCATCAGTATGATCCATGGCAAAAATTTTGTTGTGCAATTTCAGTGGTCCTAACAGGAGTTGATGGAGATGTATGTAAGTAAAGGTTCATTGAACAACATGTTTCAGTGGTGCTTTCAATAGGATGTGGTATTGGTAGTGGTGGTAGTTGAAGGGTGGGTACAACATTAAATTTGCATGACATATTCAGGTATGTACAATAACTACAGAATTCAATAACTTTAAAGTAATAGGTAAAATTACAATGTAGGTGGTAAAATTAGACTATTTTAATGACAATGATATAATGTAATAGGTAAATTTACAATGTAACCAGTACACATATACCGTTTAATTAAAAAACATGTTAACATAAAGTATCGACACTATTAGATTTTGTGTCGATAAATATAATGTAATAGGTAAATTTTCAATGTAACCGGTAGAAATATACCGGGTTCATGAGAGAATAGGTCAACATAAAGTATCGACACTTTGTTTAATTTGTGTCGATACATTTTTTCAAAATGAATGACAAACGAGATGTACGCATAAAGTGTCGATACATTTTTAAAAAGTATCGATCCTCGAAACATCGAAATCGATAATTATTATGTAACAGGTAAATTTACAATGTAACCGGTTAAAATATACCGGTTAATTAGTAAATAGGTCTACATTATGTATCGACACTCTTTAAATATGTGTCGATACTTTTTTCCAAAATAAAGCACAAACGAGTTGCACGCATAAAGTGTCGATACATTTAAAATTGTATCGATCATGAAAACATCGAAACCGATATTTATAATGTAATAGGTCAATTTATAATGTAACCGGTTTAAATTTACCGTTTTTATGAGAAAATAGGTCAATATAAGCGCTACCTATTACATTATATAAGCTCTACCTAATTTGTTATTGTACTTGATAATATTTCCGGTTAAATGCCTATGTTATTATATAAGCGCTACCTATTACATTATTTAAGCGCTACCTAATATGTTATTGTGCTTGATAATATTTCCGGTTAAATGATATAACATAACCGGTCTAAATTTTAACCGGTCACGCCGTTTTTTAGCCGTTTTTAGGCGCCGCACAACAGAAGTTCTCCCAAAAATGTTTTCCTCCTCTACTCCAATCATTCATTCAATGATTTGGCAACATCGATTACATTTTAGGGTAAACTACTCATTTAATACTTAAATTATCAGATTTGATCCGTTTTAGTATTGAAGCTTTTAATTTTTTCAAAACCATACCTAAACTTTAGTTTTTATTTCATTTTAGTACATGTTCAAAATTTAACGTTAAGTTTTGGAAAAAATTGAAAGTTTAGGGGCTAAAACGAACCAAAACTAATAGTTTAGGTACTAAAGGTGTTAAGTTTTTAACGGCGGGGTACTAAATAAAACAAAAACTAAACATTAGGTATTTTGAAAAATATTGAAAGTTTTGGTACTAAAACTGACCAAAACTGATAGTTTAGGTATTAAATGCATATTTTACCCTAGATTTTATGTATTCAACAAACTGGTTAGGGTTTTCATTGGCTTTGTAAGTACAAAAGTGATTTTTTATTAGTCAGAGATTAATATAAGTAGGGGTGAGCGTTCGATCGAGTCGAGTCGAATCACAAAATTTTGAGTTATTCGAGTTGATGAGTCCTATTTAACAACTCGGAAATGACTTGAAATTTTTTTAGTTGATGTGAGTCGAGTCTATTTTTTGAGTTTTTATTTAAAATTAATTGTAAAAAATTATAATATTATAATATTTTTTATTCCAATTTAAATGGCTTTCTATAACTATATATACAATACAAATATATTTCTTCATATATTTTTTCATATGTAATATACATTATATACCATCTATTCAAATTTGATTTGAGTTATTACAATTCAATTTGATTTGAGTCGAATCTAGTTGAAAAAATTGGTTTTCGAGTCGAGTCGAGTCGAGTTTTACTCACCTCTAAATACAATATACCATCTATTCAAAGAATCTCAATCATTTAACTATGAATACTCGTACATTCTCATATATATGGTGCTCGAATTCGTCACCTCAAGAGACAACAACAATCCTTAACCACCGAGGTATCTTGGTTTTAAGTACAAAAGTTTGTTGCCTAAAGTTTCTAAATTACGTATGGTCAAAAGTTTAAGGCAAGCAACATGTTGGGTTTCTTTTTCTTATGTAAATGTCTCCACGAAGCTTTTCAAATGACCTTGTGTGGGGCTATAAACTTAAAACTAGTCAAAACTTGCCTACACACATTTAAATGCAATAACAAGTTAAGTATATTGGTAAAACTACAGTGCCTAAAGTTTGATTAATTTGTCATGGGATGCATGAAAACTCATGTCTGGTCCATATGTCGGCCTTTGCTTATCATTTCTTAATCAATTAACATCTGAAGTTTGTCATTAAACTAGTGTCTTCAATGCAAGTGAAGTCTATTCAGAAAGGAACTGATATAACCAAAGTTCTTATTCATTTTAAGGTCAGTGCCTCAAAGTTTATCCGAAAAACATTCAAACTTAATTGTATCACGTGTCCCTAAACTATGGCTCTCATTTCAAATTAGTCCTTAAACTTGTAAATATTCTAATTTCATCCTTAAACTATGACTCTCATTCTAAATTGGTCTCTAAACATTTAGATCTTTCAATATTGTCCCAAACTCATCCAAATATGTAATCTATTTCAACCATAGTTTAACCTAATTTTTTTTTCAAACATATAATAATATAACTTGTCCAATGATTTTATTAACAAGACTTGTGATTAGTGTATACGAATAATTTAGGATAAAATTGAAATATTCAAAAAGTTTGGGGATCAATTTAGGATGAAGATCATGGCTTGGGGATGAAAATGAAATGTTCAAAAGTTTGAGGACTAATTTAGAATAATAGTCATAGTTTAAGGATGAAATTAAAATATTTAAAAGTTTAGGAACTAATCTGAGCTAAGGATCATAGATTGAGAACATATGATGCAATTAACTCAAACATTCACTTAATTAAGTTTTGCATGGTGTTGCTTGTTGATTGTGTACAAATGGACATTACGTCACATGGTCTCAAAATTTTGGGCTTCATACTTTGAAAAAAAACTATTAACCTAAAACAATTATTTTTCCTACTATACGCACGCATGAAGAAAACTAAATAAAGAAAACTTAATTTCATATGTTTGAATTTTTTTATTTTGTAAGAACCAATAGTAATATGATAATTTTTTATATTTTACAATTTTATCTTATTATAAAATATTTTAGGGGCCTCATTTTAAAAAATAGCACAGGGCCTCCACAATGACTATAGGTGGTTCACTCCTTCTGGTTTGGACAGAAAGTTACAACTAGTTGTGGAACGATTGTTGCTTGATGTCAAAGTCGCTTGCCTCATAAAGAGGTATAAGGGTGATAAATGAAGAGAAAAGCTTCATATACTTCTCTCGGTCTTGGTCGAGAGACTTTATAGTGACTCTTAATGTTGATGTCAGACATAGAGTCACTATAACTACTCGTAGGTTAACATACTAGATGGATATGATCGAATGACAGTAGGTTTATACCTGATATGTCTTACGGACCTATCAAACGTTGTAGCTTCCTAAAAGATGCCAGACATTTGAGGTTCTTTTTCTAGAGACGTGGAAATACTTTTTCCGTAGTTTTTTAAAATTTGTGAGGTATAAAGGAGATTTAAAAGATGTACAACATTGCTACACTAGAAAATTATCAGGATTTACTTAATTTGTGAGCTTAAATAGAAGTAAATTAAAGAATGTATACATGTATGCTAATTTCTTGTAAGACATAATGTTAAAAATAACCTCCGACGTTTATCAAAATGGTCATTTTGGTCTTTATTCTTTTTCGGAGCATTTTGGCCCCAAACGTTTTACTTTGAGGTAAAAAGCTCCCTCTATAATTGAAAATCATTAGTTAACATACGATTAACGCTTCAAAATACGAGCCCTTTTAACCTAAAATGAAACGTTGAGGGCTAAAATACTTCAGAAAAAAAATAAAAGACGAAATGATTATTCTGTCAAATGTTATGACCTTTTTTGTCTTAAAATGAAACGTTGGGGGACAAAGTATTCCAAAAATAGAATAGGGACAAAATGATCATTTTCATAAATATTGGGGGCTAAACTCGGCATCATGCCTTCTTGTAAATTACACAGCATAAGTTTTCACTTATACTAATCATAATGAACTAGTGGGGTACATTTTCTTGAAGAAGTGTCGACAAGTAGAGCATTTTCATCATGTCCTGTAAGGAAATTATGTTCATGGTCAGGGATGGACCTAAACGGGATGGTCGTTCTTGAAATTTAAAATTATTATATATCTCAGATTTTTTTATGCATTTCTTATTAAAAGTCTATTTTGTCCCTTAGAATTTTATAAGTTAAAATTTACCCTCTCTGTCCACCGCGACGTTGAGTGCAACCCAGCTCCACCGTATCTTTCCATGGCATCTGGGTTGAAGTCATATTCTGTGCTGGCTGCCGTTAGCTTCATTGAAAGAAACTGTGGCATACACCAAATCTAAACTAGTTCAGTAAATCTGTGTTACATCTTTTTCCAACATATAACCATGCATACTTACCAGGGTAATTACATGTTTAGTATTTTAACTATCACTTTTTTTTTGTTTTGGTCACCTAATTATTTGTTAAATAATATATAATGTTTAGTTTTAGTTTCATTTTAATCAGTCACAGTTAAAAAATTAACGGTGATCCTGATATGTCACATTATAATTGAAAAAAATAAAAAAAAAATATCATGTAAGCAATTTTATTAATTTTTTTAACATTGGATGACCAAAATAAAGCAAAAACATAATATTAGATTTTATTTAAAAAAGATAAACTACACGTTTAGTACCTAAACTATTAATTTTATTCCGATTTGGTACCCAAACTTTCTTTTCTTTAAAAAATTATACCTAACTTTTAGTTTGGGTTTCAATTTGATACCCTTCCATTAAAAAAAATTAACAAAACTGATGACATGACATTTTTTATTTCAACGATGACGTGACATCACCTTATGGTGACATGTCAATATCATTGTTAATTTTAACATATACCAAATGAAACTTAAACTAAAAGTTAGGTATTGTTTTGATTAAAAATAAAGTTTAGGTACCAAATGGAACAAAAATAATAGTTTAGATACTAAACATGTAGTTATCTTTAAAAAAATAATTGGTGACCAAAACGAGATAAAAGTGATAATTGGGTACTAAACATGTAATTTGCCCTACATACAAACGCACCTCAACCTGATTCTGCAAGGACTGCACATAATTGATGATCTCATCTAGCATTACTGCCATCCCCATTGTCTGCAGATTGAAAATTATCAAACAACTGTGAAGATAGTGGAGAAAAGTTTTGTGGGTTTTGCTTAGGTTTTGGCATAGATCGGGTCAAGTCGGATTTTCGATTAATCTAATCTGATTAAAAAATATATACCCTACACCCGAAATATTCACGCCTTTTGGCACTTAATTTCAGTACATTACGTGATTACCTTATAGCAGCCGGGAACAATATCTTGCAAACATCTTAGTCTGTCATTTATTTTCCTTCTTCTGACCTGAATTACGCATCATGGTATTGAATAAATTGGTAATGGCATAGCTAAATGAATGAAATATGAAGTTAAGTATATACTATACATATGATAAAAAAATATTCTTAACGTTCGATTAAATAATCACTTTGGTTTTTTATTTTTTCGAGCAGTTTGGTCCCAACGTAGGATAAAAAGACTTTTCTGTTGATGAAAACTATTAGTCAACAAATATTCAACGCTCGAAAATATGAATATTTTTGTCTAAAAATGAATCGTTGGATCTAAAATGCTGTAAAAAGGAATAAGAGCTAAAATAACCATGGGTAAATTATGTGTTTAGTACTTAAATTATTAGTTTTGGTTCGTTTTAATGCCTAAACTTTTAATTTTTTTTTCAAAACTATACCTAAAGTTTAGTTTTTATTTCATTTTAGTACCCCGTTCAAAATTTAACGTTAAGTTTTGAACTTTTTATTTTGAAAATTTAGGTACTAAAAAGGACCAAAACTTATAGTTTAGGTACTAAACACATTAAGGTTTTAATGGCGGGGGTACTAAAATGAAACAAAAATTAAACGTTAAGTATGATTTTAAAAAAATTTAAAGTTTAGATACTAAAAATAAATCAAAACTGATAGTTTAGATACTAAATATATAGTTTATCCAATAACTGTTTAGTCAAATATTATATTTTTTTTACCCTAAAATGAAACTTCGAGAACCAAAATACTCTAAATAAAAGAATAAACGTCGAAATGACAATTTAATCAAAACTTTAATAGTATTTGAATGTACCCTTTCTGCCAAACTGTGGCTATCGGTAGCTTCACCTCTTCTGGCCCTCACATGAACCACTTGCTTTGGCTTCTCCTCCTCCTTGGAAATGCCATTACTTTTTGCTCTTTTCCCTCTTACTGAACTCTGCATGACAATCATGTACAACCAAATTAAACAAGCTAAGAGATTGTAAATTTATGATATAAGTTTATAAATTTGCAATCCCGACATAAAATTCTACGTGTCTCTACCGATAATTCCGCTTTCAGAAACCAACCTGTGGAGATGATGACGAGTTCCCACAACTACTCTCCCCTGCATCCAATGCTTTTCTCTTCTTGCTGGTAGCTCCCTCTAAGCTCTGGCTGTTATGAAGTTCAGATGCTTGGAAAGGCAAGAAGCCATGGAAATTCAAGGCTGAGTTCTCCATGTTTAACTCACCAAATTGGATGGAAGGATCAACATCCAAGAAAGGAAACGAGTGCCTAAAACTCTGCAAGTCCATGGACAAAGATTGATTGTTTTGGAATTGGACAGTGTGGAAATGAGAAGAGACTAGTAGTGTTTACTATTTATAGTGGGATAACCTTTTTTTAAAATTCGACTTTAAGAATAAAATAAGGGCACAATGTTAAAATTAATCCCAACATTTATCAAAATGGTCATTTTGACTCTTTCTTTCTTTTTAAAATATTTTAACCGTAACGTTTCATTCTAGAGTAAAAAGACTGGGCAAGGGATAATAGAAGGTACCCTTCTGCTCCTGGTTATGTTAAGGTTAATGTCGATGACGCTTTTGATCTTCAACGTAGTTTAACTGCGATTGGTATCGTTGCTCGTGATTCAGCTGGCTCACCGCCTGGTGGAATGGCTTTACAGGTATTGAAATTTTTATTCTTACTCAGTGGCGGATCTAGAAATTTAAGAATGAGTGTCTAAAATTTTAATATTCGTTTCTTATAAAAAAAAATGGGTATGCAAAACTTTTATTATTTTTTATTTTTTTCCTTAACTAATTAAATTTTTACCATTTTTTTCTAAAATAACGAGGATGCACTTTCCTATAACAAACACATGATATTTTATTGTATATCTCATATCTTCTTCTTTATATCTTATTCAATACGAGTCAGAGAAACATTCGATCCTAATATGATCATGATCTTCATATAACACTCCATGTCTATAAACACTTTCCAAATAACGTAGACCTTGTTCTCTTGCCTTCCAATGATCATCATTTGGTGATGACATATAGCGACTCGATTAGGGATGGGCATGGGTTGGGTTTCGGCCAATCCGACCCAACCAAAAATTTTATATCATTCACTCGATCCGACTCGAAAAATATATACCCTCCACCCGACCTGAATTTGACCCGACTTTTTGAGATAAAATCCGAACCCGATCCGACCTGACCCAAAATAATAAAAAATATTGTTTTTATTCAATAAAAATAGTTATTTAATTGAAAAAAAATAATATATAGAGGGGTATTATTGTAATTATTCCTAAATATATAAGGTAAAATTATATTTTTTGGGAGTCGGGTAGGGTCAGATGTTTTCACCCTAAACCCAAATTTAACTCGACCCGAACATCACATTTAAAAAATCCGACTTATTCTCAATATTTAAAAAAAAACCGACTCGATCAAGTTGAATCGGATTCCGATCAGGTCGAGTCAGAACTCGTCGGGTTTGGGTCTCATGCCCATTCTTAAAAATCGTGGTTTCTCGCTAGTTTTGAGTGTGTCGGAGATCAAGGAAATGATATATCTGAGTTTGTGCTTGTCAAAACACCGAAGTTGTTTAGTTAATATGTGACGGTCTCTAAATAATCATCAGTTAACCTAGTGAATGAAGAGGCTCGAAATTTATATGGAAATAACTATATCAACGTTTAACCAAAATAATAAATCAAATTCTAACGAATATTCTTTTTATTAGTCTGGAGTGATTAGAATTGTATTAGTTAATTAACAACGTACGTAAATACACCTTATAAATTTAACTGTTTAAAAATAAATTTTTTAAAGAAAACGACATGCCCTTTAATCTCTAAAATCATTCAATAAATTCGATTTTAATGAAGAATTAATTTGACCAAAATATAAATCAAAATGGAATACATTGACCTATGTTTACATTCTTACTAGTAGGGGTACTTATTGAGTTGAGCAGCTCGTGAGTAATTCGAACTCGACTCGGTCAAAACTCGGTAAAAACTTGACTCGACTCGAATTCGAGCTCGATTCGAAACATTAATGAGCTGAGTCGAGCAAAATCTAACTCGACTCTATAAATTCGTAGCTATATTAAAAAATATTTCATTAAAAAAATTACTAATTTACTAATAGATAATATACAAGATGATTAATTACTAATCTATTAATTTTCTAATAAATAATTAAAAATATCAAATTATTAATTAATAATTATTATTTTACTACACCAAAAAATCAAACTCTAATTATTGTTTTAATATATTTATGAATTTTTATTTTGATGTTTAGACTTTCAATTTATTTCATACACTCTTTTGATAATTTTTTTATTAAATTTTTTAATTTATATTTGTATTAAGTTGTATATAGTATTAATAGATTTTACTTATAATTAAAAAATAAAATAAAAAATTCGGTGAACTTAACGAGCAACGAGACGAGCAAGAGTTTAATGAGCTTAATGAGCAACGAGACGAGCAAGAGTTTAATGAGCTTAACGAGTAACGAGTCGAGCAATAAAATTTCTTAATGAGCACGAGTCAAGCAAAACTTTAACGAGCTTAACAAGCAATGAGTGGAGCAATAAATTTTCTTAACGAAAACGACTCAAACAAAATTTTAACGAGCTTAACAAGCAACGAACCGAAATTAAGCAACAAAATATTTTAACAAGCACGAGTTGAGCACTACTCAACTCGCGATTGACTCGCTCGATAATCATCCCTACTTACGAGAGCAACTCATAGGTAACAACTAGGGGTGTGCAAAATTACCCGACCCGGTTGACCCGACCCGCCGACCCGGATCTAAAAAACCGGGTAATTCTCTAAAAAAGATTACCCGGCCGGGTCGGGTATTCGGCCCGACATTTCCCGGGTCGGGCCCGGGTCACAAAATCTAGTTTTTCCGGGTACCCGGTTACCCGAGTACCCGGTTAGTTTTTTTTATATATAATTATATAAAATATAATGAATTATTTATATTATGGATTATTATATTTTGTATTTTAAACTTTTAAATTTTATGTTCGGATATTAGAGTATGTAATTCCAAGTTTCGAACATTTATATTTGTGTATATATTTTTTAAATTAATAATTTGAAAATAAAAAATTAAAAATCGGGTATCGGGTACCCGATTACCGGGTACCCGCAAAATCCGGGTACCCGATTACCGGGTACCCTTAACATCCGGGTCGGGACACGGGCCGAGAAATCGTCGACCCGAAAGTTCCGGGTACCCGGAAATCGGGTACCCGAAAATCCGGGTACCCGGATTTGCACACCCCTAGTAACAACGCTTAACTTGGGTAAACAACGTGTTAGTACCTAAATTATAAGTTTTTGTTCGTTTTAATATTTAATTTTTTAATTTTTTAAAAATCATAAATAACATTTAGTTTTTGTTTCATTTTAGTACCCTGCCATTAAAAAATTAATGCGTTTAATACCTAAACTATTAGTTTTGGTCCGTTTTAATACCTAAACTTTCATTTAAAAAACTTAACGTTAAGGGTTTAATGGGTACTAAAATGAAACAAAAATTAAAAGTTTAAATACTAGGATAAATTATACGTTTAATACCTAAACTATCAGTTTTGGTCCATTTTAGTACTTCAACTTTCATTTTTTTCAAAATCATACTTAAAGTTTAATTTTTGTTTCATTTTAGTACCTACCATTGAAAACTTTAGTTTTTTGTTTTGTTTTAGTATCATGTATATCATGTTCAAAATTTAACGTTAAGTTCTGAAAAGATTAAAAGTTCAAGTATTAAAACGGACCAAAATTGATAGTTAGGTACTAAACACGTTTGGTTTTTAACGGTAATGTACTAAAATGAAATGAAAACTAAACGTTAGGTATGATTTTGAAAAAAAATTAAAAGTTTAAATACTAAAAAGGACCAACATTGACAGTTTAGATACTAAATGCATAGGTTATCCTAAATACTTTAGGTATGATTTTGAAAAAAAAATTAAAAGTTTAGGGTTTTAGGAGGACTTGAAAGTTCACATTTTTTTCTTCATCTCGTTTCTTTGGTTAGTTTAAGTAGTTGGGATTAGGTTGTTAATGGAGTTCAACACATTGGTTTTCAAAAAAATTATAATTTTTTTAATGAGTTTTGAATTGGATTTCTAATGAAATCTGGAGTTGTTAGCAAATGTTTACAATCATGTGAGTGGTTTTTTTGTTTTGTTTTGTTTTGGCTTGCCAGTTTAAGTTGGCGGAGAAATGTGTTACTAGGCTTGTTTGTAGGAATCATTTTGTTAATACCGATTGTCGTAACCGGTTTTTGTCCGGGCACGAAATATTATACTTAGCGGGAAAAGTGATGTGAGTAAATGGTTTTGAAAATAATTTGGGAGTCGCCATCGGCCTTTTGGGTCAGGTAGGTCGAATACCTAAAAATTATTTTTTTTTTAAAAGAGTTTTAAGAAAACATCAATTTAAAAAAAATGAACTGATCTACGTTTATAACCAAAAATTCGTTCTTTTTAAAAGGGATTCGTGGTCGGTTACGTTTAGGGAAGGATTAGCACCCCTACAACGCCCAAAATTGGTACTTTTTAATTATAAATTGTCTCTATTAAAAAATTTCAAAATATATTTAATTTATAATCTTATTATTTCAAAATTATATAAAAAAATATTTATTTAAAAATATCGGAAAAGGACTTCTAGGTGCCTTAAGACAGTTCTTTTCTTTGATATTAATAAATATTAAATAATATTTTTTATAATATTTAATTTTAAAATACCAGAATAGGACATCCAGTTGTATTAAGACTGCCCTTTTCTTCGATATTGAAAAATAAATATTAAAACAATTTATTAAAAATATATATAAATTATTATTATATATATTTATGACTATATAACAATAATAAAAGTATTTAAATATATAAACAGATAAAACAATAAAAATACAATTAGAACGATATATTTAAAAGCAGTAAAATAAATTTAAAATTAGTGACTAAATTATAGTAAAATTAAAATTAAAAACCTAATTCATAATTAATCAAAATTATAGGGATTAAACATACTATTTTCTTATTTTATTAATTTAATGACTAAAATAAAACTATATAAAATTCGGATATTAGAATAAAATAATTTAAAACATACTAATCAGATTAAAATATTAACTATTAAAATTATAGGACTAAATCTGTTATTTATCCTAAATATATTATTTTAATAAAAAGGACTAAAATAAATAAAACTAAAATTTAGAGATCAAATTAAAAGGTTTATAGAGTCGATTTAGTGACTAAATTATAAGAGTT